TGTGTTGTGTGTGTGTTTTACGTGTGCGTGTGTGTTGTGTGTGTGTTTACGTGCGTACGTGTGTGTGTGTGTGTTTACGTGCGTGTGTGTGTGTGTGTTTACGTTGCGTTGTGTGTGTGTGTGTGTTTACGTGCGTGTGTGTAATGTGGTGTGTTTACGTGCGTGTGTGTGTGTGTGTGTGTTTACGTGCGTGTGTGTGTGTGTGTTTACGTGCGTGTGTGTGTGTGTGTTTACGTGCGTGTGTGTGTGTGTGTTTTTACGTGCGTGTGTTGTGTGTGTTTACGTGCGTGTGTGTGGTGTTTACGTGGTGTGTTTGTTTACGTGCGTGGTGTGTGTTACGTGTCGTGTGTTGTGTGTGTGTACGTGCGTGTGTACGTGTGTGCCACGTGTGTGTGTGTGTGTTTTACGTGCGTATTGTGTGTGTGTGTTTACGTGCGTGTGTGTGTGTGTGTGTTTACAGTTGCGTGTGTGTGATTGTGTGTTGTTTTACGTGCGTGATGTGTGTGTGTGTTTACGTGCGTGTGTGTGTTGTGTGTTTACGTGCGTGTGTGTGTGTGTGTTTACGTGCGTGTGTGTGTGTGTTTACGTGCGTGTGTGTGTGTGTGTTTACGTGCGTGTGTGTGTGTGTTTTACGTGCGTGTGTGCTGGTGTTTACGTGCGTGTGTGTGTGTGTTTACGTGCGTGTTCTCCACTCCGACTGGATGTGCACATGCGTATTTCATGTGTGCTTATCGGTCTTTTCGAGTGTGTATCGTAGGCGTATGTGCGCGCGCGATTAGTAGCTCTACTTGCGCAAGGTATTTCCCCAGATATTTTGCGGAAATTTGCGCTTTTCCACCGTTGCCTATTCCTACTTTTAGCGCCGGTCGCCATGCAACGAATTCTTTCTTGGACAAGACGCAAGTAAGACAGGGGTTGTCAGCTACTATAAACTAACGATTTAAATCCCGTTTACTAAAAAACATATATATAAGGGTGCTAAATACGTTATTTGTTTCGAATTCTTACTACTCAGTAATTCCTGTCAAGTTCGGTTGATATAACCATGGTTTTCCGTATGTTGACGGAACTTTGCAACTCTGAAACGGCTTCAACAAGAGAGCCAACTGGTTTGTCTTCTCTTTTGAAACCAGAATGCACAACGCAATTGCACAGCCGGACAACATCCTGCCATCATCTCTTGTACATAAAGTGCGCTTGGGTAATATACCTGGAATAGTATATGGGTATGATTACGCCACAGGAGCAAGGCAGAGTGCGTGGCATATAACTGACAAAGACAGAAGTGGACACAATCATACACTACTAATTACAAACATACACGCATGCAAACACAGATACAGCCTAGTACACGGTTATTCAGTCGTACAATCACACGATCTCAGATGCAGACTCCCGCAAGGGGTTTGCGTGGCCCGAACAGGACAGGGCCCGAGAGAGCGCCTTCTGGGCCTATAGGACGTAAGCCTCCTAGGGATCCTGACCTTGAAAAGCCAAGGACCCTCTGGAGAGAAATGCCTTCTACGACCTTGAAAACAAGGGCACTTCCAAGAATGCCTTATGCCGTATGATGACGACCATGCCCTAACTTAGTGTCGTTTCATGTCCCGGATCCTTTGGGAAGAGTGTGGCATGTCATTAGCACTGGTGAAGGGCACGGCTTCCGAATCAGTAAAAGAACCAAGATTGTTTTAATATATTTTCGAAAAAAATCACATTTCTCCCTGATGTACAAAACGTGTCTTCGTTGTTCACACTGATACAATCAGAGTTGTAGTAATAAACATATCATATCTTTTACAAAAACTATCACCAATAATAATGATGGAAATAAAAGACATCTATACGCTGGGTACCAGATGCTCACCTTGTAGGGAACCGCAAGAGCGCCTGTGATACTGGCGGGGTCAACGTGCGTACTAACGAGGCAACGCACGGCTCCTCTTCCTTTATACCAATATCCGAAGACGCAAAGGGAGCCTATCGTTGACGTCACAGCACGCGTTACCTTCCTTGGGGTTTCCGTGGAAGTTGGAAGCCACTGCGAGTTGAGAGTGGGAAATTTGGGTGGGGGCTTCCGCTTAATTTGACAGCAAGGAAATGACAAGTATTCACAGGTGGGATGTGCTTCGTGAATTTCTTAATGTTGAGGAAGGATTGATAAATGGCAAGGCAATTTGTAAAGAAATGAAAGAAAAAAAATATCGTAGCAACAACTAAATAAATGAAATCAAGCTACCATCGCATCCGGTAAGGAAACCTTCCCTACTAATTACATCAAAATTAATCTAAAAATGGAACAGGTTACAGAAAGACGATGAAGCAATCATTGGGAAACGACCGGAAATACAGGGTTTTGGACCTTACTTCGTGTTCATAAGTCCCGCCACCCACTCCCTTCAGGATAGGAAAACAATGGATTTTTCCTTAGCCTAATACGCGTGAAGAGTTGACCTATGTGCACGAGCAGATGGCCATGAAAAGAATTAATGGTTGTGGCTAACAATTAGAACAGTTTTGAGATCATTTCATGGTAATACCATTGGTAATAAAATCTAGAAAACTAATAACTATCATTACCATCACCCGAATACTTACGATGCCGATAACCCGTGCAACAACCAATCAAATATATCAACACCACCAGTAGCCTAGCATCCCACCACCACCAGTAGCCTAGTAAACCAAAAACACCAACGCCACCACCCTCCTACACTCGAGTTCTCTACCGTAGAGCCAGGCATTAATCAAAGCCAAGCCAGGAAGGCGTTCGCGTAACCTTGAGCGTTCGTGTTGTGGGTTTCCCCAGCAGGTTGCGTCGACGCACCTCACTTATTCCCGTTTCCTGCACACTTGCTCACGCTATAACGTGGACATATTCTGATGGAATTTTACCCAAAAGGTGAAGTTGTATAATGAAGTTGCTATTTGATTACTCGGTTTAATAAGATGAGGGGGTTTCGATGCAATTTCAAATGCATGCTAATGCAATTCCTCGCTTTTGTCCGTTTCCCCCTCAGGCAATTAAACCGAAGAGCCGTCAAAGTTAAACAGCAAATGAACCACGTCCATCGCACGTTGTGAACTAAGGCATGCTAATGCAATTCCTCGCTTTTGTCCGTTTCCCCCTCAGGCATAACGAAGAGCCGTCAAGGTAAACAGCAATATACACGTCATGCAGTGTACTAAACGAAATGTCACCTAGACTATAAAAAGTCAAGATAAGACCAGCGAGTGAAGCATGAATCCTATTTTACCTTAGAAATATATGGAATAAAACTGATGTTATAAAAGGGAGATTGGACGAGGAAAATTGGGAAGGATCGCAAACACACACAGCTGAACAGACATCTACAGACTGGACATACTGACAGACACCACAGACTGGGAGACATACTGACAGACACACAGACTGGCATACACTGGACAGACACACCAGGACGGGGGCATACTTTGACTAACAGAGAAAGACAGACACGGACAGAAAAAAACTGGCATACTGATACTTAGAGACACCACATGACTGATGGAAGCCTAATTTTTACATATGAAACAGACACAACAAGTGAACTGAAAGAAATGACACTGATGATTTATTCCTAACCAATATATAAAAACATTTTAAAGGACCAGATACACTACAAGGAATGATCTATTAACAAGGAGCCCAGC